TTTTTTTTTTTTCCTCTGTGTGTGTGTATTGTCCTGAATAATTGGAGCTCTGGATGCTTTCAGGAGGAAGCTACAAAGTGGGAAAGCATCGGAAAAGTATTCTTTTCTAGAGATCTTCTTCTACATCTCTAACTCTCTTGTTGACTGCATATTGTCAGTCAGTTTACTGCCTTTTAAAGACTGGTGCACTGATACTTAACTTGCTCCAAACTGCTATTTTATCTTTTTTTTTTTTTTTTTTTTAAGCAGAGGCAAGTTTTCCCTTTCCTGCTGTGCGTACTCCTGTCCTTGGTAGAACCGTGTGCGTGCCTCTGCAAAGGAGTGGGGGGAGAGTGGTCTGTAAAAGTTTTCGAATGATCCAGTGCATAATGATACCCAACTCTTCCTCCCTTAACACGGTCTTCAAAGACTGTCTGTACCACAGACCAGAAACTGAGTTCTGTGGGTCTTGTGCCGCACTCAGCACCATCAGGCCCCAATCCTGCTTACAGATGCTACTCCATCACTAGGAAAATACAGTTCATTATGTCAAATCTTTGTTCCCTTTGATTTTTAAGAAGGATGATGATTGGAGTGAAATGGATTTTTGTTTCTCTGCCTTCCTCCAGAAGCCTAATTTAGCTTTTTCTAGCAATCTTTCCTCTTTATCCTGAAATCATAGTTACAAATCAGTTGTCAGTGTTTCATCACACGATAATAACAATAACCAGGGGTGGGAGTCTGTTGCATCGAACTTATTTGGGGATATCAAGGAAAATCCAAAAACCTTCAAATCAGGTTATTAAGTTCTGCCTTCAAAAATCCTGAAGGTGGTGGATGGTGATGAAGTAGTCTTATTCCTGACACAGCTCTGCAGTTTATGTGCAGTATCTTGGGGACTGGGAGTGGAGGGAGGGAGGGAATGGAGGGAAGGATAGAGGAAGCCCTTGAAAGCATATTGGGGTGAAGTAAAAAGGGTTTGTTTGACAGTGACAGACTAGGCACTGAAATCTCTCAGTTCTGAGAACAGATCTGCTCTGTGATGCACAGCATGGGTAGGACTGCAGAAATGAAGGGAAAGCTGGGTTAGATTTTTTTTTTTTCCCCAGCCTGGGTGTAGCACTTATGGAATTGTATGTTTTTTTGGAAGTGCTCCATAAGCTCTGCTTTCCTAGGGGAGGGGAGAGGAGGGCAGCCAGGTAGCAGTGCTGTGTGCCGCTACCTGATATTTCAGCAGCGAGCAGTTTGGATGGTTTTGTGGGTGCTGTCAGCCTCTGAAAGGGTCCTTCCTGTGTCCTAAGAAATAAATGGGAGTTTAAACCGCAGCCTGTGAAAAGCTGGCTGACGGTAAGCTGCAGGTATTCTTATTGCCAAATTAAGAGAGAGCTAAAAATACACGAGCGTGTATCTGAAAAGTGTAACTGCATTGGAGATCTTATGGGAACATTAAAGGGAAGAGGCATGGTCTGTGAGGCAAGCTGCATTAAGGTGGCTCATACGATACAGAAAAAGATAATAAAATGTCCTGTTTTCAAAATTAAGCAATTTAACCCAGGGCATGTGAAGAAAAGGATATGTGCAAAGAATTTGGAGATATATAAAGCACTTCTTGGAGCGCTGTTTTGTGCTTTGTTTTGTTTAGAACTTTTCTATGCTTCAGAAAAAAGAGTAACTTTTTTTATAGTGAAGCAGTAGTTTGGGGATTTTTTTTCTAACTTTCATTAAAATAGGAGCAGCTTCATTGCAAGTAAAGTGCAAAAAGATCAGATCTATCAGAGGAGAAAAGCATTCCTTCCCTCCAAAAGCTGCTGCAGATTGAATCCCTAATCTGAAGATGCTGCCAGTGGGATATCAGCACCACCTTCTCACTCAGCCTCAGGAAAATAGTCGTGCTAACACCGCTTCCATGGGGTGTCTGCCCCTTTTCACTCCTCCCTACAAGGTGGCTTTGGGCTGACCAACATGAATGACAGTGCTCTGTCTACTTTCCTCCTCAAAAACTATGCGGGGATACGTGTGAGATTGTGCAAGCTGCTGTTTTATTTGTCATGCAGTAACCTCATGTTTGCAGCATATACCTTGGGAATTATCAGGCTCAATTATTGCGATTTGCTGAGATATTTGCTTGTTGAGCTTTGTTTCTGTGGCACATTGTTCCCGTCGGATGGCTCAGGACAGTACATCAGCCTGGATCAGAGACTGTCAGCCCTCCGCTCTCTAACCCGCTTCCTTATCTGGCCACAAAATTTTTACATTACGATTTTATTCTTTAAAGCCTTTAACTGTGTTAGCTTCTAGTTTATCCTGGTTTCCCTCGAGCTAAAGATTAAAGTCCTAGAACAGCCCTTCGTGCTTCTGAACTTTTTTTACTGAGTTCCAAGAAGTTGGTACAAATCGTGGCCAATTTTATGCGTTTGTCCTCTACGTGGTTGGAGAGGGGCTGGGGATGAGCCTGTTGTTGGCACGTAGCAGATATTTATATGCAGCTGTGATATGCAGCTTTACAGGTTAAGGCTTTTCAACCACGTGAAGGTATTAGAGTTCCAGCAGGACTTCCCTTTCCAGTCTGGTATAGGTTCTTTACCAAAAATCTCTGATACTTTCACTGCTTTTAGTCATTTATTCGTAGCCGTGTTGTTTTGCTGCTTCATGTATGTACCCGAGATTCGGGGGAGTCAGCTGGCGAGTGAAAATACTGTAAAGGCTGAGCCTTTGTCTCCTGGTGCTTGCTTAAGATGAGATGTGCGTGTCCATTCCCAGGTCTGCCACAGACTTAGTGTGGAGCCCTGCGTGGGTTGCTGGATCTCATCCTCCCACTTGTGAAGGAGAAACAGATCTTAGGAGTCTGTGAGTGGTGTAGGAGCTACGAGAGTGGCATTGATCAGGGAGTAATGGGAAGGCAGAAATGCTGGGGATTTTTATACTTATTGATAGAAAAATACAGACGTTAATGCTTTTGTTATGAGCTTTAGAGGTTATGCAGCAGTGCTGCCGTGGTACTTCGGAGTGCCTGCTAGAACTGCCTGCACGTCGCTGGACAGCTGATTTAACAGATAAATATATCGCTCCAAAACGGATAATAGAGTGTACTGCAGAGAGGGGAGCGGGGCTGTTGTGCTCATATGTCACAATAAGAACTGCTATTTCTAATTCAGTGGTCAGCTTCGCAGGTGGAACTCGGGATTTCAGCTCGGTAACCTCGGAAAGTCACTTAGCTGGCTCTACAGTCGCTGCGGTCCGCTTGAATTCAATGTGCTCCACGTGCACACATGCGTACAGATCCACGGGACGCCTCAGCCGGCGTGGCGTTCAGCCTCTTGTCTTCGCAGCACTAATATCCACAAAGGCACGCTGTACCGTTTCTTCAAGGATTAGCCTCATTTTTGTGTTTTCCTTATGAGAACTTTAAAAAAAAAACAAAACAACCCAAACCCCAACTTGTTGATGTTCTGGCTCCCTGAGCCTGCCTGTCTGTAGCGTTGTGTTATAGCACCAGCCAAGATCATCTGAAAGAAGCTGGGGCTGTAAAGCTTTCCTAGCAGTAGGTAGTAGAGCATTCTTGATGAGGAGCTCTTGAGTTTGCTTTTCTCTGTTATGAGATTCAATTTGACCTTTCGCAGCCTCTGCATAAATAAGAGGGTGCCATACCCTGAATTTTGGGGGTAGGATTCACTTGTTGGCAACAGCATTTGTTCCCCAGTCTTGCCAAATTCTCTGTGTAATATTCAGATGCACTGCAATGAGTAGCACGTTTTTTAAGTTAAATCTCTGATTGGCTTTAAAGCAGTGAGATAACCTAATAATCGAACCGCGTGCCAGTTCTCTCTTTCTCTCTGGTGCCTGTTTGGCGTCCAACAAAGCATCTGCAGGGCTATGATTTTGCTTATTCTAAGAAATTACTTTGAGAACTGGTCTGAGTGTAATGGGATGGCAGTTCATGCGATTAGCCAAGAGAGACCAGTTTGTAAGCACTTTGGGGCAGTGACCTTCTCTCCCCATTTACTGTAAAACTGAGGGCAATTGATTTTTGTGTGGATCTTGGGAAGCTGGCTGCAGTGCTCTGCATACCATCGCTCAACTGTGTGCCACTTTTACCAGTTCCTTCCCTTAAACAGTCGTTCAGGCGTTTGAATTGTTATTTAAATCCTCTCTGCTGTTACACCAAAAGTATGTGTACTTAATGGACACTACTGTGCTCCTTGTCCCAAACTAGCTCTTGGCTAAAATTGGGATTGGAAAGTGGGGCAGAGTTTTTTAAGGTTGATTTTTTTTTTTTTCTTTGACAAACTAGCAACTCTCCGACCTTGTGCAGATTATTTAAAATCAGTTTTTTCAGAAGGTCCTTACACTGCAGGATGTAACTTTAGATGCTGGTACTGAAGTCCCTGGAAATCTGATCGCTTCATTCATGTGTCTAACAAGAACTGAAATCTTAAGAACAAAACACACATCCCCCCAGCAGCACTAAAACGTTTATGTCACACCTTCCTGAACTCTGGCCCTTGCCTCTAATAGATACGGCCTTTTCTTCTTTAGAGTCTGAAGTGCTTTTGTATTTTATAAAGATAGTGCAAGTAGGTCCAAATATTTAGATTTAGCTATGTTTGCCATCATAGATACAATGTTCATTTAAATTTTTGGTTGCTAAATATTGGATAGAATATATACAATTGGACAGCAAAAGTGGATGACTTTTCAACTGAACCGTTTTAACTTTTCATTCTAATTTTTTAATCCTATTTCTTTTCAGCAAAGAGACCAGGTAAATGAGGTGTTAAAGAGAAGCTATGGAACTTAGAGCAGTGGAAGTTTCTGCTCTTTTCTGCTCTCAAATTTATCTTAACATTGTTTTCAGCTTGCTGTGGACTATCTAGGTTATTTCATCCTGTCTACACGACTGCCTTTTCAATGAACTGGGTATGGGGGGAGCAGCGAGACGGAGGAAGAAAAGGGCGAGACTTGCACTCAAGAGAGTATCTGTTTTCACTCTTCTCTTGTCTTCTTGTATTTCAGGTATACAAATGCTCTCAGTCCAGCCAGACACCAAGCCGAAAGGTTGTGCTGGCTGCAACCGTAAGATTAAAGACCGGTATCTTCTAAAGGCCCTGGACAAATATTGGCATGAAGACTGCCTGAAGTGTGCCTGCTGTGACTGTCGCCTGGGGGAGGTGGGCTCTACCTTGTACACCAAAGCCAACCTGATCCTTTGTCGCAGAGACTATCTGAGGTAGGCCATGTCCTTCGTAACATTCGCTGACAACCTCGCTGAATCTGTTCAGCCCTTCTTGTGTAGTTGCTGTTGCGTAGGCAGTACTCGGGGGCTGCAAGACCCAGGTGTATGTGGAGGATGAGAAAACAAATACCACAGTATGGAGATAGAGCTAAAATTTGAATCAAAAAGCACACGTAACCCGGTCATACGGGCAGCTGCCAGTTTTCTGGTGATAATACTAGGATCCTGTGCTCGGAGGAGGAAGAGAATAGAGCTAGTGGTGGTTGTCGTCTTCTCCTCCTCCTTCTTGCGGCACAGTGGTGGCCAGACATAGTGGCCTGAAACTGCGTGTGTGGTTTTGGACTCTAAGTGAGGAGTGCTTCACTCGTCTTCACTTACCCGCTTTTGTCCTCTTCGTTTGCTGAAGGGATTTCATTTGTGGCACTAGAAGCTTTAATGACTGTGGCCGTTTAGCTGTTGGAAGCTGGACCAAGATGACCAACTGTCTTCCCCATGCTAAATAGGCTGAAATCCACTCCGGTCCTGATTTAACCCGGTGACCTGAGTGGGACTCTGGGTAACCTGTTGCCACTTCTCAGAGAGCAAATCGTCACTTGATTTTCTATCTTCTTGTTTGCTTGCGGACCTATGCTGTCAAAAGTATTTGACATATCACTAGTAGCAAAGCACTGATGAGCAGCACCAGGCTGGTTTATCTGCAGATTGTATGTGAATAAATAGGAATACTTTGCAGGAGCTAAGTTTAATCATGAAGTTTTGTCTCCCTAGGCTCTCAATAGTAAATAGAGAGAAAAGGCTCCTCTGGGGTGATTCAGAGCACCTATTTCCTATCAGAGCACCTTTCCTCCGTTCCCTGTAGAGGGGGCCTAATGAGTCTAGCTGCTCCAGGCTAACGTGAACTTCTGGGAATGTTTCCCCTGCCCCTGTAGTGAAGCCTTTTCCTTTTAAAGGGACATTCAAGTCAGCGATACATCGGGGAAAAATTAACATTCTCTTTGAATGTGTTAACTTACAAGTTCGGTTTAAGCCCAGGTACCAAATAGGAGGTTGCCACACGCCAGTCAGTTCCCAAGTTGTACAGCGTGGGTAGGTTGGAACAGGAATCAAGACGGAAGCGTTACCAACAATTGGTACTCTGGCTCTCCGTGCTACAACCTGTTTTTCCTAGAGCGGAACAAAAACCATCGCGAACGCATTGTGTGTTTGTTGGGCTGGGGCTGCAAGGCAGATCAGGCTCTTCAGATGTGGACTTAAGCCTACTTAGTGGTAAAAGTGCTCTGCTACTCATTAAAACCCTGAACTGAACGCAAGAGAGAGTGCTGGGAATTTAACGTAGAGTCTGCATCTTAAAGCCGTTGTGTTAAAGCTGCCAAAGAGCTAGGTAACAGAACCTTACTTTTAAAAACTGGCAGGGATCTGTTTGAATAGAAGGGAATTGCTGTACGTGAGCCTAGGTTGCTTGTGTTCTTAAAGCCTGTGTCTAGAGAGGGGTTGGAACAGCTTCTGGGGGGAAGGTAACGTTTACCTTAATTTTTAAAACCCGTTTTAAGACTCCAACAAGTGCCTGCAGGAGTGAGAAAACTCTCCTGTGGCTGTTTGATCCGAGTTCCAAATTTACTGGAGACTTTGAACTTACTGAATTTCCCAAGCACTGGTGCAGCAGATCCAATGTTTTAAAATCAAATGTTTAAAATGAAAACCAGAAGTGATCTAGTAGTGGAGAGACGAGTAAAGCACTTCCCCAGCACAGATGCGCACACACACGCACACTGTTGCTCTCTAGTCTTTGAAGGTCTGACAGGAGTAAATATTTTGCTAACAGATTGTTAAAATTACACTAAGTGATTCAGATAAAGGAGACTGTATTTTTCATCTGTCATGACCACGTTCCAAACTGGTGTTTTGGTTATTTGTTGTGCTTCGGCACCAGTGAAACCAGCATACACGAGAAATCCTACAGTCGGTTTTAAGGTGTTTCTGATTTTTGTCTCCAGGTTTATTAATTCTCAACGAAGCTATCTTGTCATGAGCCTTTTTTTAGTCGTTCTTGTGAGTGCATGGATTTAAACTTGGTATTTACACTAAACTCCAAAGTGATGCACTTAAGGTAATTGCAGATAGTCATTTGCCTCATTGCGTCCTATCTACTTAGTTATGCAGTGAACCTATAAAAGTGATCTTTTTAATGCTAATGTAGAAACTAGTTAAATGTTCTCTAGCTTTGTAGTCCAATAAGCTTTCATATTTAGCAGCCCACTTGATATGAATTTAAAGAACAAATTACTTTGTACTAATGATCAGACTAGAGTTCGATTACGGTTTCAAACTATCCTCTTAATTTTTTTTTTTTCTTTTGAGCCATAAAGGGAGTCTTTGCTACATATAAAACTGTTCTAGCTTCCTATTAATTTATGTGGTGCCCTCTAGAGGATATGTGGCTTGCAGGATACTATAAAGAGTAAAATTGCTTATTAACTCTGTGTTCATTATGTGTTTCAATAAGACAGCCATTCTACAGATGCTGGAAGCAATAATGCAGCCAGTTTGGGTGCTTTAGCTTTCACGGTTAAATCTGCAAACTGCGTGATTGTGTCTTTGGCTATCTGCAAAGATACTTCCAGTATCTCTCGTTTAGAGATGCCTGCCAAAAAACTAAACCCTCCCTTGGACCCGATGCACACTCTCGTTCCGCATTTGAGCCCTGAGGTACCCACTTTGGTGAGCTTTTTATAAGTACTCTGTATCTTCAGAACTTCAAAACTTGCTTTGCTTTACCTCTCTCCTTTGGTAAAATTGGTTAATTCTACTATATTAAAACCTTTTTCTTCGTGGTGGAGGCAGGTTGAGGGGATGGAAGAAATCTTTAATGAGGCAATGAGCTTGGAAGATGCTTTGGGTGTGAGAGGCTTTACCCTGGAATCCGATTCATGTAAGTCTCCCCAGTGGTTTCAGATGCGGCGTACAACACCAAGGATATTAGGGTGACCACAGC